GGAAATACGTTTATGATACTGCGCTAACTCTATACATTTTGACTGGAATGTAGTTATTAATTTCTCAAAATTTTAACTTATTAAAGAAGATTAAGTTTCTTGAAAAAAAAATGCTTCATGGCTTTCTCCATATTTGCTTGATCATCGCAGTTTCTGAAGATCTTGTTATAGTCGTGTTTCTCAAACCATCAAAATGCATAGTCTTTTGAGTTCTTGGAGCTCTCTTCTGGATTCACTTGGGAAGCTTTTCATGACACAGACAAGACAAGTTTCTCTACTGTCATTTCCCTTGTTTCTTACCTGCAATTCATAAAGCCATACACTTGTTGCTCATCATGTCTTAAGATCTTTGACTTACAAGTTAGAAACACAAAGGACTCAAGTCAAAACCACAAAACATTAACTCCATGTTTATTATACCTTTCTGGAACCAAGATTTTCGAACTAACTGGCGAATCTGGCGTTCATTGCGTTCCAAAAGCTCATCAACTCCATAAGATTGAGACAACAAGGGGCCGGAGTATTCGATTTTGTCACCATTGTCTTGGTTACCCTGTCAAGTTCTTAACTCATTAACATCATTGAGTGTGTCTTTCAACATGTCCTACAAAGCAAATCATGCATGTTCTACTTTTTCCTCTCAAGTCTTTGGGTGGATATAAAAGGTTAGAGCGAGAGAGAGACAAAGGCACTTAAAGCAATAAAGCTACACTCAGTCGAATTGCAATCTGAATCTCTTTCTACTCATTTTTACTATGTCACAGACCAATGTATAATTGCCATTAGCATTTACCAAGATAACTTAAATTAATTAATGCATCAGAAATTTCAGAAACCATAAGCTTGGATTAATATAAGTTGAGGTTGGCATAGGAAAGGTGAATTCTCTCGGTGGAAATGTGCAAACCTAAGTGCACTTGGTCTCTACTATATCAACTAGAATTTGGATATTCTGGAAACAAAAAAAACGGGGATGCAATCGCTTCTATTATCTACTAACGTACCAAATGACCCAGTTTTGCCGTCTTTTCTTCTCTCTGATAAAGTGCCAATGACAGTTCCTGTGAATGATACTCGTCCGAAGCATCAAAAGAATCTGGACGTTCAAGTTGTCTCCACTGCTTCAGCATTGAAACCTTCAACATCTCATACGCCTCACGGTCTTGGGAATCTGTCCTTGCTCCATGTTTCTCTTCCTTTTCATTCTCTTTTATCTTAGGCTCAACGTCAGTGTTCTCGCTAAAAGCAGGGGAAGGTCCCAACAGGTTAGGAATGTGACCTCTTGAGAGAGATCTATTATGTGATCTAACACATATATCATCTTTTCGTCGCTTTGCCCATGCAAAACCGCTTGATACAGAGACTTGCAACGGCCCTGAGAAAGGCACATCTCCTTGTGATGCGTTCTTCACATGAGAAGCTTCGTCTTTTTCATGATCTGATGGCTTTTGAAGTTTCCCACATAAAGTGGCATCGCTATCAATCGAATTATGAACTGAATGACCATTACGTTTCTGCAAAGAGCGGAAAGGGTGTCGTACATCCTGCAAAAAGATAAGAGCGGCAAGTTTTTGTTTTTTGTTTTCTCTGCTTAAGGGAACAAAGATGCAGATAATATGTAAAAAAGAGAATGAATCATAGGTACCTCAGCTGGTGCCAATTTAGCAAATGCAGGGGGCTTTCTTGTTGGCTTCCTCGATTCTGTACCTCGTCTCCCATTCCCGCTGATTTTTCTCCTGCAAATTCCAAAATAACAAATGAGGATAATGAATGAATGAATGCTTCCACGAACTGACACTTAAGACCAAAGAAATTCTGACCTTGTTGCTTCTTCTCGATGCTTTGCATCAATCTCCTTGCTAGGCGAGTATACAGGCAAGCTTGAGGGGTCACAAGCAAAAGGCTTTGCAGTGAAATACTGAAAAAATAAAGGTTAATGACAGAAATCAAGTTGCAAGTCTTCAAACTTGATGTTGTCATGATAGTTTAAAGATAAAATGGTTACCTGGGAAACAAGCGCAGCAGACGCAGTCCCACGTTTGTGGGGCTCTATAGAAAGAAGAGTTTCTATAAGATTGATGTCAGAGTCGGACAAATCTTTCAAGGTTTCTCGGAGACAACCATCATAATGTTGCTGTGGTTTGAAAAGCATTGCATGAGGTAGTTTGGACTTTTTCCAGTAATCCGCCGGTGGAGATCCACATAGTTTGAATATCTTGTGCAACTGTTCGACCTGTATCATACAGTTCAAGAAACACCATTCTTTGAGTTATATTTTCCCGGAGTAAAAACAAAGCAACAATATACAGTATAAAAAGGTCTGAAGCTACAAACATTTTGGTGGTTAATTTACCTCAGTTCTTCCCTGCAGAACCGGTTTCCCGAGAAGAAGTTCGGCAAAAACACAGCCAACACTCCACAAATCAACAGATGCTCCATACTCCGTTGCCCCAAGCAAAAGTTCAGGCGGACGGTACCACAGAGTCACAACTCGACTTGTAAGCGGTTGCTTGTTCCCCGAGGAATTACAAAAGTTTGCTAAACCAAAATCAGCCACTTTTAATATTCCTTCATTATTCACCAAAAGATTCGAACCCTTAATGTCCCGATGCATTACACCTCGTGCGTGACAGTGATCAAGTCCAGATAACAATTGTTTCATATAACACTTAATCTGCAAAGGCCATATCAACAATCATTCCTTGTAATCCAGAAAAAAAAATCTCTCAATATGAAATGTTAGACTGACCTGTGGAGTTGTGAAGTCGATGTCAGGGCTAGAGAGAAGACCAGTGAGATCATGCTCCATATACTCGAACACGAGATGTATGTTGCAAGATAGTTTTGAAGTAACCAAGCCTTGTAGTTTGATAATGTTGGGATGATTGAGTCTCCTAAGTATCAAAATCTCTCTTGCCATAAACCTAACACTCTCTGGCTCAAAATTGTCGAATCTAACCTTCTTCAAAGCCACTATCCTCCCTGTTTCAGTCTCTCGTGCACGGAACACGCTACTATATGTCCCTTGTCCAATCTTCACAACCAAAAAGCAAAATCATTCATAATTCAGACACAACAACATTCAAATGTAAGTTGTTGCAGAGTACTAAAAATCAAACCTTTTCGAGCTTTTCGAATGCGTCGGATCGAAATGGGACCCATCCATGGATAGCTTCGCCGGCAACGTTGCTCAGCCACGCAGGCCAACCAGCGGCGACTTGCTCAGCTTCTAAGTACTTGCTTAGGTTACCGAGACGGAAACTCAACGACTCGCTCCTGCAATTCGAACTCGCTCGGCCGGACTCGCTTAACTCGCCCAACTCGCTACCTAACTCACTGCCGCTCTTTTTGCTACTACTCTTCTTCCCGCTCTTGCTCCTCCACGACACGAGCTTCTTCGGAGAAGGATCCTCAACCAGAATTCGACCCGAACCGGAACAAGCATTGTCCCTGAATAGTCCAGAGTGATCGATCGCTGGAGTTACAGAGACTGTCTGCTTCGAGCTGACGCAACCCATTACAGAATTTCGCGTCACAACATGTATACCGGTAACGACCCGAACCGTCACGGTGCTGGATCCGGGTTCGGGTTGTAGTGAAACTATTGCGGTTTCGTTTGTTCTGTGTATTTATACAGAGAGGAGAGAAAGTTGAAAGAGAATGTTTTCTCGGCTTTTCCGATTTTTAATATTGGCGTGAATTGCGGAAGACGACGGTCCTTTATAATTAAAATTTCTAAATTAGAATTAAATGTCACAATACTAAAAATAGAAAAATGATTTAGCCGAAATCCACGGGATGATTTTTGTGACGACAATGATGGTTGATGATTGATGACTTGATTTTTTTGTTTCCCAATTAAAAGTGATTCAATGTCTTTTTTAACATTATTTAATTTTTAGTTTTTTACATTGTGAAAAAATCGAAATTTGTAGGAATAGTTAATGACTAATGCAATGGAACGAGTTTGACTAGTGACTAGTGTGAGAGTGAGCTAATAGGGCCAAAAACGGTGGTGGGTTGTTGTTGACTACTTTGGATTTTTTTTTTTTAATATATTTTAGAACGTATGTATAGTTTACATATCACATCACACTTGTCATGTGTATACTTGACATATACAATTATAATATGTAACATTTTTTTTGTAGTAATTTTGTTAGTCGTATTGTGTCACTATTTTGTATCGATTCAAATTAATTTTTAATAAACGAAAGTGGTGGTATCAAAATGCTTATTGTGTCACTCATTTTTTCTAAATGAAACATTTCTTTGGGATTTGAACTTCGGTAATCAATGCTTATTCCTCACTTATTTTGTGAATTATTGTTGGATATATAATGCGAGTATGTGACTAGATATTAAATGTATTTACATGTGTATGTGGGAGCATTTAATTGATTGTTCAAAGCCGAAATTCGAATCCACCACAACAACTTCTTTTTAAATTTATTTTATGTGGGTATTAATATATTTAAATTCCACTATTTTTTCGACCAAAAACAATTCCACTATTTTTTTCACTCAAGTTCTACTACTATATTCAAATATGAAAGGAAAAATGAGAAAAGGAAAAGGAAAATTATGTTGACTTTAACTTTTGGGCAGACATCTTTCTTTAATAGGCTCACATAATTGTGCACCTTTCCCGTTTTTTGATATTTCATGTCTCCCTGAATTGACCAACCATGAAATGAAATCTATTGTAACAGTCATTATTATTTCTTGACTAATATAATAGTGAAATTGGGTGGTCGATAAATTTAACAATCAATTTGTTGACTTTTATATCAGTATATGCTGAATATTAGTTCCAATTTAAAGCTACAACAAAAATTCCAAGGAGAAATTGGTGTAGGATCATCCTACTCTCACAAACAAATGGTCTCCAATGAGTAAAAGTTTGACATGGATACAAAATCTATTATGCAAAAATTGAGCATAGATACTTTGAATCAGCTTTACAAAGACATAGTTGGATAATTTCTACGACGGTAACTCGCACGCGGCTTTACCATCTTTGGACTTGGACTGACCAAGCAGCTCGGCTACGGTTTTGCAGCGACATTCTTTTCCAGGTCGTAACACGTCTCCATAAACCGCCATTTCGATAACGTCTAGCTCTTTGTCTGTATGTTGCATTAGAAGAAGTCTTAAGAAAGTGAATGCAAACTCGAAGTGAATAGAC